GCAGAAGGCACAAGCAGGCTGCAACTGAGGCCAGGACAGAACAACGGTGAGAGGGAGAATGGACTCAGCCAGAGCTGTGCTTAATCAGCGACCTGCTCTGGCTGCCGAGGCCCAGGGGTGAATCAGAACTGGCACTCTCCCCCTGGGGCTTGGCCCTGCTCCCAGCCTGTCCTTGGGGTCCCCTGACATCCCTAGAGCCTTGCCCTAAGCCCCTATCTCTTGAGGCTCTTGGAGGGGCAGGGGGTGGTGCCCTTGGCCTTCCACTTGGCATGTCTGCAGGCAGTGCTTCTGGCCCAGGGTCTTCGGCCTTAACCACTCACCCCTCCCTGCTTCTCCCTGCGCCCAGGTGCAAAGGCCTGCCTGAGCACTGTCCCAAGCCTTTTCTCAGCGATTCTGTCTCCACGCCCTGCCTCTCTCTGCTCTACCGAGAGAGAGTAGTTTGGGGGCCTGGTCAGTGAAGAACCGGCACACCTCCTCCCCCACACATACAAGAGCATCCTTTAGGTGAAGACCCTGAGATCAGTGCTCCCCAGCCCAGTGATGTGGACAGACTCCAGGTGGGCTCAGTGTTGGCCCCCGTAGGCTCCCAGGCTGGGCATGGCTGCTGAGTGCAAGCTGGCTATTTGTCCTAAGTGCTGTGCAAATACCCTGTTCTCTGTTCTCTGTGATGTGAGGAAGGTCAGGAAGCTCCCCCAGTTGGGGGCAGAACAATCCGACTTCAGGAGGGACCAAGCCTTATGGCTGGCATTCTAGGTCACCCCTGGGTACCAGCGTTGCTGGGGTTCTCGCACCAGGAATCTTGTAGAGAGGATAGTGCTGTGGGGAGCAGGGTAAGAGGTTCTGTCTCAGCATCTTACAGGATCCTCACAGAGCAAGCCTCGGGATTTAGCTGAGATTTCTGGGATATGCTGATCCAGCAGATCTGCCGGGGACCTTACAAGTCACCATAGTGGTTAAGGGTACAGGCTCCTGCTGTGCCATAGGAGGAACGAAGCACTGGTATATGATACAACATGGGCGAGTCTTGAAATCATTATGCTACGTCAAGGGAGCTAGACGCAAAAGGCCACATATTGTATGAATCCATTTGTGTGAAATGTCCAGAATAGGTAAGGTCCACAGAGACAGAAAGCAGATTACTGGTTGCCTAGGGATAGAGGGCCAGCTTCACCCAGGGCATTCTGGGAAAGGAGGAGTGGAGGTATGAATAAACCATACAGGGTTTCTTTGGGGGATGATGATAATGTTCTAAAATGGATTATGGCGATGATTGCACAACTCTGAGTATAATAAAATCTGCTGAATTGTGCCGTTGAAATGGGTGAGTATAACAGGATGTGAATTATAGCTCAATACAAAAAGCTCGATTACAAAAAAAAAAAAAAAAAAGGATGTTAGGCTGCGGGCTTACATAGCTTGGGTTCAAATCCTGACCACTTACTATGTGGACAACCTTGGGCAAGTCCCTTAACCTCCTTGTGCAAGAGTTCCCTCGTTTGCTCCCCTGCAAAATGAAGACAATTACAGCACCTGTTTCATCAGGTTAGCGTGGGGATTAGAGTCAATACACGTAACGGGCTCAGGATGGTGCCTGACACACAGCAGGCAGCGGCTCTTCCTAGTTCAGGGAAGCAAACTTTTGCTGGGCAAGGTGGAAAATGACAGCCCGAGAGGTTAAGTGACTTGCCCTCTGTAGGCTGAGGGATACCCCCTTTGCCCCCAAATATACGTCCAAGTTTTAATCCCTGGACCCCCTGCCTGTGACCTTATTTGGAAAGAGGGTCATCGTGGATGTGATTAAGGCTCTCAAGATGAAAAGATCATTTTGGATTACATAATGGCCTGAAACCCAATGACAAGTGCTCTTGCAAGCGACACACAGAGGACAGGGCCGACACGAGGCGGGGGAAGGCCATGCGAAGACAGAGGCCGAGGTTGGAGGGAGGCAGCCACAGCCAAAGGGACACCTGGAGCCACTAGAAACTGGAAAAGGCAGGGAACGCTTCTCCCTGGAACATTCGGAGGGAGCCTGGCCCCGACGACACCTTGAATTCAGACTCCAGCCTCCAACACTGTGAGGGGACGCCTTTCTGGCAGTTGTTACAGCAGCTTTAGGAGACTTGTACAGCCACTCAGTCCTCAGGGCCAGAGCCGGGACTCCTGGCTCCAATGGCCACTCGGGCCCTTCATTGCATTTATCTGTGAATAAAGAACAGCTTCAACCCAGCTGCCAGGAAGTTTCTGGAAGTGGGTTCTGTGATCCCTTTTTACAGACAAGGACACTTGCTGCCCTGTGGTCACTCGCCCATGTCACACACCCATCAGAGTGGGGGCAGGTGGCCTGGGAAGTGAGCCCGGCTGTCACCTCCACCCACACCCCTCATTAGATTTACCAGCCTCAGCCTGGACAGTGTTTAATCTGCCTTTTACAACGCATCAATTGCAAGTTTATTAATGGGCAATTGAAAGTTATAGGTGAAGTTAGGATTTATTAATATCATTGGAAGTAAATCTCCCTGGAATTCAAGTAATTGAAATTCTCTTTTTTATAATCCATAAAGCAGGTCTGAAAGAGAAGTGTTCCAGAAACCTCGGGGGCGGCTGGGATCACAGGTGTGGGAAGTCGGGGTGGGGAGGGGCTTCTGTTCTGATTCAGGCCATTCTTGGATGCCCGCCTGCCCCTGCCCACCCCTCCGTCACTGCCTCTGAGAGTCCGGGAAGGAGTCTCTCCTCCTGGGACGCACTGCAGTGATCAGAGCTGGTGCTGGGGAGGCCGATGTGACCCTGCCCATAGATCACAGCCTAGTGGGGAGACAGGGCTGGGAGGCTGGCATACCCCCGTGGCACCTGGAATGCCTCCAGCCAGAGTTAGGCAGTTCCTGTCCTTTTGGGACACACCAACTCAGGGTGAGAGGAATGAGCCCCCAAAGTGCCCTTCCTGCTCATCCTGGAGAGGGCCAGCCTCACCGAGGGCATTCTGGGAAGGGAGGTGGCTGTGGAGCCCAGGGGGTTCGGTGAGTGTCTGATTAACTTCCAGCCACATCTCAACTCCTTGCTGGTCCCCAGAAGCAAGTCACACCGTGCTTTCTTGAGTTCCAGTCTCAGAAATGTGGGGTCCTATTTGGAATGCCCAAGAGGAACCCCACCTGGACTGTCAGGGCTCCTGGCCCACTTCGGAGTTGCTGACCGAGGCCCTCCAGCCCCTCCACTGGGAGGTCCTCCACCCCAAGGCCGCGCATTCGGTGTCCTGGGCAAGCAGAGCAGTGGGTTCTGCCAGGGGGCCTGGGGGGTGAAGATCCTCCTGACCTGCTTCACTAAGAGCTGGAGGATGTAGCTTGTTAGATGGCATTAGGTCTTGCGGGAGCCCTGGAGGTGCTTGGGGCAGGACGGGGGGCTCCAGTGAGCTGAGAGGGTGGCCTGGAGAAAGAGAAAGGGGCCCAGCCGCCTGGGAGAAGCACTGCCCAGCCCTTCCTTTCCCCCCTGCACCCCTGCACGCATGCTCGTGGTACACCTTGCCCAAGGGGTCACCTATAAGCCACCCTCTCCCTCCTCCAAGCCTCTCCCCAGGCTGCCGGCCGTGCTGCAGAGCTCGCTCCCGTTTAGCTGACTCCTGCTGATCCCTGAAGACCCCCTTTTCCTGCAGGGTCCCTCCTCCTGCTCCCTGAAGACCAGCCGCCTCCTCTGCTGTATGGATGTGACCTCTTGGTCACTGCCCGCCCAGTGTCACATTGGCCAGGACTCCCTGTGCTCACACCCACTCACACATCCCGGGACGCGGCCTTCTGGGACGGCTTTCTGCAGTAGCTGGGGGTCCCTGTGGCCAGGCGAGCCAGGCCCCCCCATTGCCGCAGCCACACAACACGAGACCCCCAGAGGGAAGAGCACCTTTATTGTCAGAGCGTCACAGACTGCCCGCCCACCTCTGACCCCGCCTCTGCGAAGACTGGCCTGTGGGAGGCTACACATTGCTCCGGGAGCAGCTCTGCCTCGGAGGGGCAGCCAGAGCCTGGGGGAGGAGGAGGTTACCAGGTGAGGAGCGGCCGCAGCCTCCGGGGACCTGGAGCGCTGGGCAGGGATGGCTCCTGCCACCGGGGGAGACGTGCTCGGGGTGGCGCCAGCACCAGTGGGTCTGAGTCTGGGGCCCCTGTGTGAGTGTGGGCCCCGGCCCAGCGAGGAGGAGCACCGAGAGGAGCACCGGGGAGGCCCACTCACAGGGGCCCGGGGCCTGCGAGGCCTCGAATGGCTTTGAGGGCTGAGGGCTGAGCTGCTCTGTCTGGAGCAGCAGGGGCCCAGGGTGTATGTGGAGCTGCCGGGGGCCTCTCCCCTGCAGGCCCGGGACTCGGACAGCCTTCCTTCCTCTACTTCACCAGGAGGATTACTGATCGTGTAATGCAGGGGAGGGCAGGGCTGCAAGGGATGCCTGGGGGGGGGGGGGGGGGGGGGCGTGTTCCCATGAAATCCTCTCTCCTCCACTCAGGAGTGCCAGGTCCTGGTGGGTAGGGGTGGGTGGGGGTGGGTGGGCTGAGAGAGACTGGGAGGCAGCCGTGGGTGATGCCAATTAGGTTTGAGGACCCTTGCACCCCTATGCTCCTTTCTCAATCCCCATGTCCCCTGTGACAATCATGGGTTCATTCAGGGTCTCCCTGGCCCCACGCCAGAGGATTGGAGTTGAGGAATGAGACCCAGGGCTCTGTCCTTCCTCCCATGGTCCATCCAGCCTCCCCACAGACCTGTGCTCACCCTGTCTGAGCTTTCTCTGAAGAGGGGAAGAGGAACGGAAAGACCCGGGTTCAAATCCTGCCCCAGCCCTCCGTGGCCGGTGGCTTTGCAGGTTATTTGTCCCCTCCAAGCCTCTTTCCCCAATAACATGGGGGTAACAAGCCTACCGCCTAAGGGTTAAATGAGACGATGTAGGGAGAGCTCCTCGGACGGCCCAAACGTCGAGGGAACTCGGTAAATGCTAAGGATTATGATTACTCTCAAACCCAGACTCTGTCTCCTGCAGAGGGTGGGAGGTGGGGGAGGGCTGGAACCAGAGCAGGGCTCTGCCAAGGGTGCTGGGCCCCTCTGGATCCTACCCCTGGAGGTCCCAGCTGTCCCCAAGGCCCCCAAGCCCTGGGGGCCAACGTCCCTCCTGATTGTCCGTGCCTGAGGTCCAGCCCCACGGGGGGGTGCCTTCAGGATCCAGTGGCGGCACAGGCGTGAGGGCCGGGTCTCTGGTGGGGCCGGGCGTGTCCTGGAGGGCTGCCCTACTTCCCGCTGCCGGCCTGGCCTGCGCTCTTCTGCCCGGGGCCGGGGCCGGGGCCGAGCAGGGCGGCGAGGGAGCCGTCCGGGGGGGCGCCACCACGCTTCATTTTGAGGTTGGCTCTCAGGGCGGCGTCCTGGCCGGAGCCCCCCTCAGGGGAGGCCAGAGGATCTGCAAGGAGATCAGGAGGGTGGGCCTCGGGGGCATTCAGAGGCACCTTCGGGTCACACTGCCCAGTGAGGATAGGGCTTTCTACCCACTTGTCCACTCATTCACTCACTCATTCATTCATTCGTCCTTCAACAAGTCCTGATCAGGGCTGGGCTCCAGACCCTGAAGAGGTGCCTGTCACCACCCTGCCACCAGGGCAGACATGGAAACCCCACCCCGAGAGGGAACCAAGGCTCTGCAGAGCCCTGTGAGGCGAGCTGAGGTCGGTGCTGACGTGGGAGTCGGTGCTGAGCAGGCAGAGGGAGCAGCCTGAGCAAAGGCTCAGGAGGGGCCTGGGTGACGGGTGGTGGCTCTGTGTCACTGGGAGGGGGAGGCAGGAGCAGAGGGAGATGCCCAGCAGCCGGGGGCTCACCCGTTTCTGCGTCCTGCTCCCCACTCACCATGGATCCCGATCATGTGCTCCAGGATGAGGACTCTCTCCGCCAGGATCTTCAAGGCCTCCCGCAGCTGCTGCACGCCCTCCCCCTGTGGGGAGAAGCAGCCAGGGTCAAGGCCATTCTGCTTCAGGTACATGCTATCCCAGGCCTCCCCCTTCCTGCCTGTCACCATCAAACAACAGCCACTGCCCACTCTGTTCGGGGACAGCATTGGAACCGGCCCTCAGAGAGGGTAACCAGAGTCCCCGGGACACACAGCCTGGAAGAGGCCTACCGGCTTCCATGCCCAGGTGTGTTGCCTCATGTCTGGGTTCTGCCTGCCCCAAGCTGCCCGCCTGCTTCCCCCGTGTGCCCTGCTTTCCAGGACACACCCTCAGAGCACCTGGGACAGGCCCACGGGTGGGGAGCTTGGCTGATTTCTTCCTGGCACTGCCCACCTGGGAGCCCATCCCCGAAAGCAAAGGGGAAGGAAAGCCACTGCTTCTGGGGTCCCGGCAGGAGGGCAGGATGAGGAGAGCCTGTGTCTCTGAGACCAGCCAGGCTCACACGTGGGCCCAGACATGTGAACGAATGAGCTGCTGAATGGACGTCAAGGCCACTTTGAAAAGTGATGATGAAGAGACAAGTGCCCGGCTGGAGTCAGCTTGCTGGGAGAGCGTGACAGCTGGCATGCCTTTCAGATGAATTTAGCTTAAAACACAACAACAGGAAACCAAAGAGCATCTCATTGGGTTCCAGGAGAGAGGTCTTCCCACCAGCGACCCAAAGCCCACCAGAAGCCGTATCTGGGCCGTATCTGGGATGGGGGTGTCCCTGGGGAGGAGCAGGGGTCCAGGCCCCCCTGTCAGGGACCTGGCTCAGCCCATGTCCCTGGGCCACAGGTTGTACTTGTATGAAGTGGGGAGGGCGAGTCATAGGTGCCCTCTTGTGGAGAACGGCTACAGTGTTTGGACAGGTTCAGGCCTGGCGGCAAAGCCACGTGCAAGTCCCAGCACAATTGTAGCTAACGGCTATCGCTGTAAGCTTGACCTTATGGTCCGAACCTGTGGTCCCACGTGGCTAAGTGATACGGGCTGCAGGAGGTGCAGCAAGTAAACAAAACTTGATCAGGTGCATGTAATTGAGTAGATTCTAAACCAGGGGTCTTCAAACTTCTCTCATTATGAGAATCACCTGGTGGAGTTGTTAAAACACAGATTCCCGGATCCCAACTATAAGAAGTGCTATCAGGAATCTGTGTTTTAACACCTCCACCAGGTGATTCTCATAATGAGAGAAGTTTGAAGACCCCTGTAATCTAAACCCTCGAGAACAATGTAAACATCTTGACCCTGCCCTTACTTTGCCTCCTGGAATCTGGCTATGAAATAAAGACGTGGCTTGCAGGCTGTGGTGCTGTCTCTCGATCAGAGAGCAGTGTCCCACCTAGACCCAGCTGTATTCTCTTGTCTGTCTTCTCCATCCTCACCGCCCCCCCCCTCCCGTCACCCATGGCCGTGCTGGCGTGGCACACCCTCAGTCTGGCATCCCAAGTGACCTGTGAATCTGCTTGTGCCTCCTGGGCCCACGGCTGCTCTGGTTCCAGCACCTTAACCTTTTCCAGTCCCACAAGGACCTCTGGAAGGTCCCACCGTCCAGGCCACTTCCCACAGCTGCCTGCCTCCAATGCCCACCTCGCCGAGGCCAACAGCACAGTTACCTCTGCGGCAGCTTTCTCCTCCTCTTCCCCCCTCCGGCCAGGCTCGCCCTAGGAAGAGAGCATGCAGTCAGTGGTGGTGCGGGTTCGGGGAGGGGGCCTGGGGCGAGCAGAGCAGCGGAGGGCCAAGGCCCTGGTCACCCTGCACAGCCTCACTTGCGAGGTGTCGGAACTTGGCTTTAGGGGTTTAATTCTGCTTCTGGGGCTGGGGGTAGGGGGTCAGGTTTGGAACCTCATGAGCTCATGTCTTGGCTCTCCCAGGGATCAAGTCTCCTGCCTCTTAGGACTCTGTTTTCCTGTCTCTAACATGGGGCCAGTATCATAAGACCTAGCTGGGACTTACTACTTCTGTGTGACCTTGGGTAAGGTACTTGGCCTCTCTGTGCCTCAGTATTCTCATCTGTACAATGGGGTAATAAGAGTATCTACCTCATAGGACTATTAAAAGGATTAGATGGATAATGAGCATAGACTGGAGCCTAGCACATAGAGGTGCTGTGAAAGTGTTGTCATACATTACCAGACAGACGTCTGGGAGGAGGCATGGCTTTGGAGGCTAAAGCACCTATGGTTGCTTTGCTGTGTGACCTTGGAAAAGTTACTTAACCTCTCTGAGCTGCCAGTTCTGGCAAATGGGGATAAAAAAGCACAGTATTGCTGGGTTGCTGCGAAGCTTAACTACACTATGGATGAAGAGAGCCTCCACAGTGGCCAGCACATAGTAGATGCTCAGCAAAGATCCATCCTTCCTCCCGGGCCGCACTGCCTCCTCTCCTCCTCCTCCTTTACCTCCCCCCCCCCCCCCGCACCCCATAAAGCCTTGGGCACAAAGGAGGCTCTCCCTCTAGGGTAGGGGTGTCGAACTCAATCAGAGAAGGGGCCAAAATCTAAAATCCAGCCTAAATCGCTGGCCGAATGGTTTACTGAACAGTCATAAACTGTCATTGTGATGGAAACGCAGCGGAGTGCAGTGATGACAGCGCGGTGCGGGCCACATTGCAAGGCCTGGCGGGACGGATTTGGCCCTCGGGCCTTGTGTTTGACACATGTGCTCTAGGGGCAAGAGTTGAAGCTCAGATTTTTTCCAAGAATGAAAATGAGAAGCCAGCTTCCTAAGCCTCTTAAATTCTTGGATTCAGAGACAGAAAGGGATGCTAGGTCAGCGGTTAGTCAGCAGAGCCAAATATCAACAGGACGATCGACATTTCTTTTGAGAGCCAAATGTTTTAAACTTAAACTTCTTCTAACGCCACTTGTTCAAACTAGACTTGCCCTGGCCATGGTATTTTGTGGAAGAGCCAGACTCAAGGGGCCAAAGAGCCATAGTTGTAAGCTTGACCCTTATGGTCCGAACCTGTGGTCCCACGTGGCTAAGTGATACGGGCTGCGGGAGGGGCAGCAAGTAAACAAAACTTGACCAGGTGCATGTAATTGAGTAGATTCTAAACCCTCGAGAACATTGTAAACATCTTGACCCTGCCCTTACTTTGCCTCCTGGAATCTGGCTATGAAATAAAGACGTGGCTTGCAAGCTGTGGTGCTGCTTCTCGATCAGAGAGCAGCGTCCCACCTAGACCCAGCTGTGTTCTCTTGTCTGTCTTCTCCATCCAGGCTCGTGTGCCACAGTTTGCCAACCGCGGCTCTAGGTCAGCTCAGGGGTGTGGGCTCCCTGAGGAGGCCTGAGGACTCTCATCAACCCCTTTAGCAGGCGATTTCAGTCTTTGCTCACATTCCCAGTGGAGTTGTTCCCAGAGTCATCCCGTCTTAAGGTGGGCGTCTGGGGCTGCACTCAGGTTGCCCCTTTCCGTCCTCTGCCCTACCCTGGATAAGGCCATGTTTGGGGAGGCTGTGGGGCGGAGCTCAGGTAAGGCCACCTGGGATAGTCCGTCCCCCCCTCCCAGTACCCTGGCCTGCACCAGCGCTCACCGCCCCGGAATGGCCTATCTCAACAGCCCGCACTTACAGATGGCCCCGTCAAGCCCCGCTCTCCAGCCAGGCCCTGCAGAAAATCAAATAAGGCAGATGAGTCCCCGCCTGCCTTCCCTGGCCAACCCTTCTGTCCTCCCGCCCCTACACTGGGCTCTGGATCCGGAAAGTAAGATGGGAGGACAACTGATGACATGGAGGAAATGGCAAGGCCACACCTGGGGGCCTCCCAGGTTGCGGAGCCATCCTCCTCTGGCTCCTAAATGAACCTCAGCAGAGCCCTCGGTCTTCTCATCTGCAGAATGGGGCAAAGCACGCCCCCTCCCACCCCCTCCTGTGGAGAAAGACCCCCAGAGACCCACCACCCACAGTGAAGCCACCGTCTGGCCCCTCGTGGTGCGCAGAGGAGGCTGTGGCCATCCAGACATTGTTGATATCTGGGCTGACCTTGGCCCTGCTGGGGCCTGGACGGGCCTGGCAGTGAGTCCTGGGAGGGCTTGTCCACTTTGGCCCTGGAGAGTCCTCTGGCATCCAGGCCCCGGCCATGGGCCCAGCCTTAGGGAGGGGCCACAGTAAGGAAGTAAGGGGTCAAGATGCCAGTGACATGAAGACCCCTTAGGCGGATGCCCAACCACGCCCTCTCAAGGGGAGTTGGACAAGCAGCTCAGACTCGGTCCCCGTGAACCTCCTAGGAATCTTGCAGACCTGGGTCCCCTCAGGACAGGGTCTGCAGAGCCACCAGAGGCAGCCCTGTTCACAAGGGCCTGGCAGGATAAGGCTACCCCGAAACACCCACTGCGCTCCTGGCGAGGGCTGGAGGCGGCTGGAGAGCCGGAAAGGAGCCGGGCCTAACGGGGACCCAGCTCTGCCACCTGCTGTGTGACCCCAGCGAGTGACGAGGGATTAACTGATGGGGCTCCTGAAAGCCGTTAGCATGAGCAGACGGGGGAGGAGAGGGGATTGAGGGGGGATTGGGCGCAGTCATCCCTGACCGGACCAGTGGCCGTGGGCCGTGGCCAGAGGCCCAAATTGAAAAGGGACGACCCTGAGAGCCACCTCCCTGGGAATGTGAGCTGGAGGGGCACACTGGGCAGGGCTGCCAGGCGTGGGGAGGTCACCCAGACTTCTCTCCCCAGCCGCCTCCAGTGCTTCCCTGGACCTCTGTCCCTCACCAGTCTTCTCGGTCACTGTCATTCTCGCACCTGCTCCCAACCCCGCTCTCCAGGGCCTGTGGTGGGGCCTGAGGGACCGGGAGGGAACCCCTGGGGTGCCTTGCTCTGGGGACCTAAACTCTTGGCTTACCCGGCCCACCCCTCCTGATGCAGGAGCAGATCGGGCCTGGGGGCCTCCCAGCCCCTCTGCAGCCCTTGTCCCACCCAGGCCCTGCTGGCCAGCCTGGCCCGTCCACATCCACGCTTGCTCTGCCCTGTGCTGAAGGTGGTCTGTTTCGGGGTCTGTGCACCAGCCAGCTGAGTCCGCCTGGTGTGGAAACACACTGTGGGGACCACAGGGAGCAGATCGGAGCCCGGGACGCTGGCTCTCTGACGTCTAGGGTGTACGCTTTAGGGGCCTGGACTGTGGCCCCAGGTCCCGGCTGTGCCATTGATGGGGGAATATTTGTCATTTAACCAAAGGGATGGGTGAACTCCCCAGTCCCAGCCAGAGCTCCAGAGCAGCGAGCACAGCCGGGAGGACATCCCACACCGGGCAGGTGTCCTGGGCCCTTCCTCCTCCTCCCAGAGATTTCCTCCTAGATCCATGGTCGGCAAACTGCGGCTCACAAGCCACATGCGGCTCTTGGCCCCTTGAATGTGGCTCTTCCACAAAATACCACGGCCTGGGCGAGTCTATTTTGAAGAAGTGGCGTTAGAAGAAGTTTAAGTTTAAAAAATGTGGCTCTCCAAAGAAATGTCAATCGTTGTCCTGTTGATATTTGGCTCCGTTGACTAATGAGTTTGCTGACCACTGTTGGGCTCCTGTAATACAAGGCGCCTCCACCTGGCACTTCAGTTCCCTTTTGCTCCCGGTAACCACCTCCTCCCGGAAGCCAGAGCCCAGGGAGGCTGCCTTTTAGCCCAGGTCACACATCTGAAAGGAGGGGAAGCTGGCGGAGCACCCCGCCAGGCTTTGGTGATCCTTGGGAGCAGGATGGCAGGCTAGGTGGGCATTCTGTGCTGTGGCCTCTCTGGACTCAGTCAGCTCATCAATACAATGGGAAGTTTGCTAACACCTCTCTGGCACAGACCACTGCCACTAATAAAACCAGAACCTCGTGCCGACTGGCCCCGGCTCCCACCTGGGCCCAGTGGGGACCCGCCAGGTGGACTGCTTCCTTCCTGAGCAAAGCCTGCAGCACACAGCCTGGCCCGTCCTTCCTAGGGAGCCCTGACCCTCACACAGAAACGAGCGCAGCCTTACCTGGGATCCAGGTGCACCGGGAGGGCCTGGGGGACCTGTTGGCGGGGTTACAGACAAGTTACCGGGGGCCAGAGAGGCCTTGTGCCCCCCATCAGCTCCGGAGAGAGACATTCCCACCCTCCACCCCAGCCCCTGCCCTGGGCCTGCCTCAGGGGCAGCAAACAGAGATCTGGGGACTGAATGTCGGGGGAACACACTCCCCTGGCCTCTCCTGCCCATACTCAGAGCAGAGAGCCACCTCTATGCATCCCACACCCCAACCTGCTCTCCTCCCAGGGCCTCCCTCAGCAGCCAGCCCCCCCGCAAATCTCTCCCAGGTCGGCCCCTCCTTGGGACTTGGGGCCCAAGCCCCCCAGGTCCCTCTTCTTGCCTGGGTTACTACAACTGCTTCTCGATCACCCACCCTGCATGGGGACACCCAGAAAGCAGCTGTTCAGTGAGCTCCCGCCCAGCCCAGGCCCTCGCATTCCCCAGATGCCCTCCCGGGCAGGTCTCTGCTCTGTGCCTCTGCCAATGCCGCTCCCTCCTCTGAGCGTCTCCATCCCCGCACATCTTCCCTGCCATTCTTTCCTACCGGCCTTCCCCCTCCCCGGCTGAGCCTCTCCTCCTCCAGGAGGCCTCCCAGCACCCGCCCCACCTCTCTTCCACACGGACTTCTGGGAGTTCCCAGCCTCCGCCCTGCCTGCCGTCCGTCTCCACGTCCGACGGCCTCTGGGACGGAGAAAGCCCGGAGGGTCAGGCTGGGTGCCCGGCACAGGAAGCCGCGCTCAGGGTGAACTTCCAGCACACGTGCACGAGGAGGCCTCTGTCCCTGCCCGCACAGCCCCATGGGCTGTTCCGATGTGCCCCCACGCTTGAGGAGGGCCTTCGGGACAGTGCACGGGGGGGCGGGGGGCCCGCACATCTGGACTCAGCACGAAGCCCTTCTCTGCGGTCAGAGCACATCCCCTGAGGCCCCAGGTGTCCCCAGGCTCATCCCCTCACCTGGTCTGAGTGGGACTCAGATCCACCTCAGAAAGACGCCTGCCCGCCGGGCCCGCCCCAGCCCTGCTTTCCCTCCCCACTCAGGCCTGTGGACTCACTCACTATGACCAAGGTTTGCTTCGCCCACGAGGGTGTGAGTGCCACCCGGACCGGAGCCTCTGTTTATGAGCCTTTGTTTTATGACAGGGCCCGGCAGGTAGGATTGGCTCAGTGGGTATTAGTTCAGTGGGTAAGAGAGTAAACGAGTGACAGGGAGTGAGTGTTCTGGGCCTGGAGACATCCACACAGCTGGGTGGGCCGAGCTCCCGTGGCCCTGGCCCCAACGGCCCCTGTGCAGGGAGGGTCCATGGAGGGTGGGGGTCAAGCCAGATGCAGGCTCAGCCCATGGAGCCCGGGGCCATCTCCCCCCGCAGGGCCACTGGTTTCTGCCTAAAGGCCCGGGGCCTTGTGCCTCTCATAGTACCGGTCCCTCCTGAGCTGCCCTCTGCTGCCCCCACGCTCCCCCTGGGCCTGGGCCTCTGTGTATCCAGGGCATCCCATCCACCACCCAGGCCCACGTGAGGGCAGCTCTGAGCGGCTCTATGTGGGCATCAGGAACCTGGGGTCCCTTTGTCCAGCCCCACAAGTGAGCTGCCAAACGGTAGGTGGGGGCAGACCCAGTCTCCAGCACCCTGCCAAGGCCACGGGCCCCCTAATGGCTCCTTCACGCCCCCTTGGCGCAGGCCAAGCCCGGGATGGGGTACCCAGTCCAGGCCATCCGTGCTGCTGCCCTCTGCACTTACCTGGAGGGCCGGGGGGACCCCGGGGCCCTGGGACACCGGCCAGCACCGTGTCCACGGCGGCAGAAGCCAGCTGCGAGTCTCCATCTGCGGGAAGAGCAGACGGCCTGTGACCTGGCAGGGCGGGGTTGGCAGAGCTGGGAGGCTGGACCTGAGGTCCCCCAGAGCTGGGGTGGATGCCCCGGGCCCCACTGGGGCCTCAAAGCAGCCCAGGGAAACAGATGCGATTGCTCCCACAGCTCAGAAGAGCTTACGGAGGCCAGGTCACCGGGCAGCGGGGCCCAGTGAGCTTCTTATAAAGACAAACACTTTCCTGAACAATCCAGACCCTTCAACTCTGGCCAGCCCCACTCCCCTCCGAGCCCCAGGCTGGCCCTGTCCTCCAGGCTCCATCCCACATGCCTGCCTGACGTGCCCCGCTGGCCCCCTCACTCAGGCCTCCCCTAAGAAGCCCTCCCTGCTCACCCCTCTAGCTGCCGCCAGCAGGGCCCCGGGGCAAGGTGGGGCCTGTCTGACGGCCTGTCTTCTCCAGGGGGAGCCCCATGCGACTGCCCAGGCATCCCCAGAGCAGAGACAGAGCAGCCAGGCCCAGGAAATGCCAGGGCTGCGGCTGCCCCTTCCTCCAATCATGGAAGCCCGGCCTGTGCTTCCGAGGCCTCACAGCAAGTGGGCACCCGGGGGTGCTCAGTCCCCACCTTTCCCAATGCTCACACCCCACAGGCCGCCCTCCCTCGGGGGCCCAGGGCTGGGGAAGGAGGGTGCCGTCTAAGGGGGCTCTGGGCACCGGAGGTGGTAGGTGGGCAGCCCTTGGTGGCTCCTCGTGGCTCAGGGGTGGGGGGGTGCTGAGCCCCGAGACCCCCAAGTGCATCACAAACACTATCCATTCTCTGCCTGCGCAGGGCCATCTCTGAGCCACAGGCGGGTGAGGAAGCCGAGCGCGCAGTGAGCTAACATCCCCCGTGGGAGAGCCGGCGCCTCCCAGGCCCTGCCTGCTGGCCAGGCCCTGCCTGCTGGCCAGGCCCCTCACTCACGAGGACAGCCCAGGGCCCAGTCCACGTGGTTCAGGCTGAGGCTGGGGGCTGTTTTAGAAGCCCAGAGCAATTCCATCCAGAAATAGTATCAGATGGAAAAACTGAGGCTCAGAAAGGGATCAGGTGTTAACACTAGGGCGAGGGCTGTGCTGCCTGAGGGGACAGAAGCACCGGCAGGACGGGGGATGGGGGGGATCCCTAGCAGCTGACTAAAGGTCCCTCTCCACCACGATGCCCTCGATGTACCCACCCATCCCCTCTCCTCAACACGGTAAGCCAGTCCTGTCACTCTGCTTCTCACAGAACCTCCCCAGGCTCCCGCGGGCCTCAGCCCCTCAGCCGGGCCGGCGCTGCCTCTGGCACTGACCGTGGCCCCTGAGGGAGGCGTGTTCTTCTCACGCTGCCCCAGTGCCCACACAACACCTGCCAGGTGACCTGCAGGGAGGGCACGTGGGACGAGGAGGTGGGACAGCAGATGAGCTCCGTGGTGGGGCCATCCCGGCAGAGAGACAGGCCAGGCCAAAGAGCGGAGTGATCTTTGCAGAGTCGGGACCCCAGCTGAGCACCAAGGCAGGGACAGGCCATGCCGGGCCCAAAGCGGGGTTGAGGGGTCAGGATTGGTCTCCGGTGCCCCCGCTTGTCCAAGCCCTCTCCCAAGCCAGTGCCCCCCTCGCTGGTAGGGTGCCAGGCCCCCTCCCCTCAGCCCAGCACTCACTGTCCTTGTCCGTCGGGGGCTGCAGGGAGTAGAGGACGCCTTGGGGGCCGTTTGGAGGGAGGCCCGGGCTGCCTGCTGGGCCGGGGGGGCCGGGGGGGCCGGGGCGCCCCATCTCTCCAGGCAGCCCACGGGGCCCTGGTGGCCCCAAGAGGCCTGTAACGGGGAGAAGAGGAGTCAGGTGAGAGCTGGGCCTGGCAGCCAGCATTGCAGACAGGAAACAGGCCCCAAGGGGGACAGGGTCGGCGGTACCTCCAGACCACAGTCTCCCTAGAGGGCTGTCTTAGGATGTAAGTGAAGTGGCTTCCCCTTCCCTGCCCGGTGCACAGGGAGCCAGCCCCAGGCAGCTGGAGGCAGGGACGGCTCTGGCCTGGTGCCCTCTGCCTCCTCCAGGGACCTGGCTCTGGCCAGGAGCACGCAGGTGGCAACTTCCCGCAGGACCAGGGGAGTTTAAAAAACTGAGGACAACCCCAGCCCAGCAGCCCCCACCCCCACAGCCCCCACAGCCTCTCTTCTTCCCTCCTGCAGCCCAGGGAGAGACCAGGCCCTAAAGCGGGGGGGATGCACAGCAATTAGAGTGCTGCTGGGTGTACGAGGTGACTCGCCTGCTCAGACAGGGGAGAAGCCCAGGCCCTGTTCCCCAGGAGACAAATGGCCGAGCCAGTGTCCTTACCAGGAGGCCCTGCCGGGCCTTTCTCTCCTGCCTGGCCCCGGTCACCTTTGGAGCCGGGGGGGCCTGCAGGCCCCGGTGGTCCTGTCTGCCCCGGGGGCCCTGGGGAGAGAATGAGATGAGGCCTGGGAGCACTGGGCTGTGGGGACAGCCCTGCACCCCGGAGCCGTCCGTCCACCTGAGGCTTCCACCTGAGGCTTCCCCGAACGGATGGGCAAAGGGGCGTCAGCCCCGTCGGGCAGTACGGGGACACACCATTTCTGCACCGAATGACCTCTACGATCTCAAGAGCTGCTCTTGTTTCCACCTGACAGGGGGACTGAGGGTCCAGGCGTGGCCCCTCGCTCAAGAGCCCAGAGCCAGGCTGTGGGTGAGTCAGGTTCCCTCTCTCCACGGCCTTCTGGCTCCCTGCTCAGAGTTGGGACACGAGCGTGTGGCAGAGGCCTTCTCGGAGACTCCAGGAAGCACCACAGGACATGCCTGCTCACCTCCGGGGTCTCAGGCCCCACGGGTGAGTGAGTAGAGGTTAGAGGCCCACCATGTGGCCTGGGCCAGCCCTTCTCCCTCCGGAGTGCCTGGAGAGGGCGCTCAGAAGCGCCTGATGGACTGATGGAGGGGCCTGTGCTGGATCTTAAGGCCCTTCCATCTCAACTCCACGTGACTGTGGTCCAGGAGGAAGGGCTTGAGGGGCTCCTGCTTTGGGGAAACTCCACCTGCTCGCTGGGAAATCCAGGTGTCACCATTTGTAGGGTTTGTTCGCCACCTGGTGGCCATGTCCTGGAACTGCACTTTCCCTGGAAAGGAGTCACGTCTGGCCAGGAAGACCCAGAGTGGCTGCCAGCCTTCCCCTCCCACCCCCAGGGGGTTAAGGCCTGGGTCCTCCTTTTTCAGTCACAGAAGGAGGACTTAAAGAACATGGCGTGGTCCAGTCCTCTGGGGTGAGGCCTTGGGGACAGTGGCCAGAGAAGTGGGCCAGGGGACCCAGAGGGAGCGGCTCCCCCTCACCCACAGCCTCAGCGCCTTGGAAGAGCCCAGAATATCTGCTCCTCCCCCAGCCCCAGGACTGGCTGCTGGATGCCAACTCTCCCGCTCCAAGGGCCACCCTCCCAGCTCCTGCTCCTGAGGACGGGCACCCAGGAAGCAGGGCAGAGGTGGCCCGGGAAGGGCTCAGGCAGGTGCTCAGAGCTGAGTCTGGGAGGTGCTGGGGGCTCAGCCGGCAGAGTGGAGAGGGAAGGAGAGCATCACACTCAAAGGGCTCCTGTGGGGACAAGAATCATGGAGACGGAACCCTCGGGTCGCTGGGTAACCCCAGGGGTCACTTCTTTGAGCCTCAATTTTCTCTGTCACCCCAAGCTTTATGAGCTTTATGAGCTCACCAGAAAGGTCATCTGTCCAGCCTAGCATGATGTACAAATATTTAATGACTGGCACAGCATGGGCACTGACCAGTCGGGGGGGGGGGGGGCACCAGCCTCACACCCCCGAGCTCAGCCACACTGACAGGTGTCAGCTGGACACCCACTCAGGTGAAGGCCAGCATAGCGCCTGGCACAGGCAGGCGTTCAACAACTCGGGCTACTATTACAATTGTTATTACTACTCGCGGGCTCCGAGGACAGAATCCTGGCCAGCGGATGGAAGCTACGGAAAGAACTTTTTATCCCTGACTTGAAACTGTGCAGAGAAGGGAGAAGATAGCAGGGCAGCAGGTGCCCTCCAAGTCTCTCAGAGCTTGTCGGGGTGTCCCCAGAAGCTGGTGGGAGGCAGTGAGCTCCCCGTCCTGGGGGTATGCAGACGGGGGCTGCTATACATGGTGCCAGCCAAGCAGCAGGCTGGGCCGAGGGCATGCGTGAAGATGCTGAGGTAGCATCAGGGCAGCTGGTGAGGACAGCAGCTGGGCTGCAGGCAATAAGGAACGGTGGGGACTGGGGCAAACTGCAGAGCTGAGATAAGATCTGCAGCCAGTTGTCTCCAGGATGGACTGGCCAGTCCCAACGGCCAGAGTCCCTGTTTTTTTCTAAAAGAAGCCAGAAATCCTCACTTTTATGTGAAATGCCTCATTGTTTAAATGGCAGCTCAAGTGTTTAAAATGCCACGTGGCCATGTGTGACCTAAGGCCAGTGTGGGCCCTGCCTGTGGACCCTCTGGCTGGCCCGAGCTCTCCCCTGCGGCCGCACTCACCAGCCGGGCCCGTGGGCCTTCTCCGGGGCCCTGGGTGGGCGAGAGGGATGGCGTCAGGGAGGAAGTCCTCGTTCCAGGGCGGCGGGGTGCTCTGGGGGACGGGCAGGTCGTTGTCTGGGCTTGAGGGTCGCTCTGCTGCTTCCAGCAGGAGAACCTGGGCCGGAGAAGGGCAGAGGGTCAGCCCGGGCTGGGCCTGGGACACATGTGGACAGGGAGAGGGCCCCGTGAGACCTGCAGCTGCCCCTGCTGGGTTGGGGTCACCCTCCTCAGTGGGGCCCCCACTCCCCTGGCCGACATGCTCTCCCACCCCTGCCCTCCTCCCCTTCCTGTTTAAGGAGAGCCCTCCTGGACCCTCAGGCTCCTGCAGGTCCGTCCCCTCTCAGAGTCCCGGAACATTTTTTTCTAGGGGGGCCGCCGCTGGGATGAGAGATCTGAGTCATGACCGTGACCACCTCCACCTCCCTGTCTCCCCACCAGGGGGCACTGAGTGAGCTTGTCCCCCACACTGCCTGGCTCAGGGCACAGATAGCATGGTCAGGGAATGTGGATGGATGGATGGATGAATGCATAGATGGAAGGTGGGAAGGAGGGAGGAAAATAAGAAGAGATATGAGGGGTAGGGAGTAGGGGGGAATGGGCCTGGTTTGAATTTTAGTAGGAGCTCCAGGAAAACAAAAGGAGGCTGTGACCACTCAGGGCAGCCTGGCAAGCAGCCTGCCCTCCCATCTTGAGGGACTCAGGGGTCAAAGACTGCAAGACCCAGGGCCTGGGCAAAGACATGCTCTCCCTAATTCTCTCCAACTGGGAGCCAGGCCGCCGTGGCTCCAGTGCAGTCCTGCGGCCTCTGAAGAGGCCAGCAGGGGGCACTGTGAGCCCAGGATCAGTGCGGGGCCAGAGAACCTGGGCAGGCCCTAGGCAGCAGGGGGAGGGAGGGCACTGGGGCCCCTCAGCGGTATGAAGTGGAGCCCGGCCTCCTGCCCCCCCCCCGTGTGTGCCCTGCCCTTGGTGCCCATCTGGCCGATGGGGAGGAGGAGTCTGGTGTCTCAGGGTCAGTCCAGCTCTTAGAAGCCAGACCCCTGAATCCTGTAGATTACTAGCTGTCCCTTCCCTCCATTTCCCCGGGATTAAGGGGTCTGAGGATGGGGCAGAGGGTGGTGAGCGGGCCTGTGAGGGGGGCCTGCTGTGATGATCACTGACGCCCAAAGGCATCCAAACCCAGGCCCCAGGCCCGAACCCCCACTCTGTCCCACCCTGAACCCTCTCCCACATCAGAGTCCTGGGCCTCCCTGGGACTTCCCCCGCTGTTCAGGGAGGGGGTGGTGTCAGGGCCTGCGCATTCGGCCTTTCCCTGGCCCATGGCCCAGGCTCCACAGCAGCTTCTTGCCTTCCTACCTCCATCTGCCCCCCTTCACCTCCTGGAGCCCCCCACTTCCTCCCACACAGCAGCGGGATGAAGACCTCATGCCAAACGAACCCTACCCAGGCCCCCTCCAAACCCCCATTGTCCCTGCACAGGTGCCCGTTCCACCCAGCCTGCCCCTCCTGGGCCCCACCTGTGGCTCTGGTCCACATGCCCTGAGTCACCCTGGACCCTCCTGGCCTGAGACCGCCTCCTGCAGCCCTGGCTCCTGCAGGGCCCTCTGTCAGCCCTGCCCTCCCCCCTGAGGAAGATCCTGAGACTCCAGGGAGCTGTGCCTCCTCCCCACAGCCATCTCACCCTCTGGGCAGAAGGGGCCTCCGTTTCATCCCTAAGCCAACAGCCAGCCAGAGTGGGAGACAGAACCACGTGGAGCAGGCGCCCTCCTGCTGTTGGTCCCCAGGGCCCGGCCTGGGGTCAGTGCTGTCTAACGGGGGAGGCTCAGGTCCCGCGGCCACACAGGCTGGCTTGAATCCTGGCTTTCCCATGCGGCCGCTGTCACCTTGTGCAAGCATCATGACCTCTGTGAGCCTCAGTTTCCCCTCAGCAAAATGGGGATGACTACAAGCTGCCTTCTCAGAACTTGGACCCCGGTTGGGCTGTTTCCCAGATAAGAGGCATAGGCCCTTCTGAGCGCCCCCTGCCCCCAACAGCTCTGCAGTGTTTCTGGGCCTGGGTGACAGTCTCCAAGGATCCTTAGTGTCTCAGTTCCTTCTGTCCTGGGTGGCTGGGTCCTCCCTCTGGGGCTCTGTTGGCTGCTTTGAGCCCCTCTCCTACCTGATGCTCCCAAGAGCCCATGAGGCAGGAGGGGTCAGTGGCCACATCACAGGCAAGGAGGTGAGAGAGGCTCAGAGACCACAGGCGTCTTGCCCAGGGTCGCTCAGCGAGCAGACAGCAGGGCAGGGCCCCCCGGGGTGCCCCGTTCGCCTCTCTCCACAGCCTTGGTCTCGGTGGAGCCTCACAAAAGCCAGGAAAAGGGGACCGGCCAGCTCAGGCCACACAGCAGCTTCGGAGAGGAACCCAGTCTCCTGACCCCTGTGACCCCAGAGGGAAGGGGGGGTTTTCTGCCTCAACGGCTGAGTTTTCCCTTGGGAGCTGGCTGGACGATGGGTCACAGTCAAGGACGCTGGGGCAGCCGAGGGCCTGGGGAGTGGGGAGAGCCGGCTGCCGGAGGCAGGAGGCAGCGGGCCCTGGACAGTGGGCGTGAGGATGGGGCTGAGGAGGACTGGCAGGACCTGGGTCTTGGGGGCAGGCATGGATGAAGGTGGGAGTGGCTCTCCCATTAGTGGTCTGGCTCTGGGGACAGTGGAATTGCCACCAGGCAAACAAGGGCATGAGAGAGGGCAAGCCTGGGGTGAAGGTGGCCAGTGTGCGGTCCAGGGGCCGGGTCTCAGGACCTATGGACTATTGAACAGGGAGCAGGCAGGAGCAGGAGGGCCAGGGCAGCCTGGCGGGATTAAGGGGGGCAGGCCCTGGTGTTCTCCTGTAATGGCCAGGCCCTGGGCTCCCCAGAGGGACCTGCCACACACAGCCTTGTCCCCACACCAGAGGCCCGGCTCCTTCTCTCCTGGGGCCCCTCCCACACAGACACAGGCCCACAGAGCCCACGCCCGGCACAGGAGCATGGACACGGCCGAGTCAGCGTCCGCCTGGCCCGGCCGTGGCCAACCTCCCGGAGAAGCTGGCCCCGCCCTACGGGGGCATGAGCTCACCGGGGCAGCGGCCGTGGGCGTGGGGACGGGCCGTGAACACCAGACCACGGCCGCCCAGGGCAGCGGCCCCGATGACGTCATTGTGGTCTGGCCGCGGGCACGAGAGGCCAGCCGAGCGCCCAGGCTTCTGCCACCCCCATGCAGGGAGGTCCCCTCGGGCCCCCGCCCACTCCTTGTGTCCATGAGGTCAGCGAGTAAACGGAGGGGGAGGAGAGGGAAGAAGGCCGAACGCTTCTTCCCTGCTGGCCTTCTGGCTCCTGTGCCCCCACAGCCACCCAGCTGTCCCAGGAAAGGGGGACGGTAGGACTCCCCGACCAGCTGCGAGGACTGGGTCCTCGGGCAACCCCAGCGCCGACAGGGAGGGACGATGGAGCTGACCCTGGTGGGTGTCCGGGCCCCACTGCCCCTTCTTCCCTTGCCCTGTGGGGCCCCAGAGAAAGACTCGTGGTTGGCCAGGCACTCATTTTTCCAGCTTCCTGGCAACTAGGAGGAGGGCCTCTAGCCCAGGGCTGGCCACTGAGACGTTTGTTGGGGGCCACTGCCTGCTTCTGGCCTCGGTGTGAGAATGCGGTGCCTTGGGCTGCAGTAGCCACATGGTCACCAGGAGGCCTGGACCGTGAGGACAAAAGATAATTCACTGAAGGGGCGAAGGGGGAGGCTGTGCAGTGGAGCGGGCCGGCCTGGCCATGGGACACACAGCCCCGGGGCGCCTTATGTGCAGCACCAGCTCAGCCAGGCTCAGCGGCCCTGAGAGGGGGCGGGGAAGGATGTAGAAAAGACAAACAAGAGAATGAAGGCTGGATCTGGGCAGGACGCTGCTTTTCTGATGGAGAGACAGCGATACGGATTACAAGCCGTGTCTTTATGTCATAGCAGATGCCACGAGGCAAAGTAAGGCCGTGGCCAAGATGTTCACAGCAGGCTGGGGCCTACTCAACTACATGCACCCGATCGAGCTTTGTTTACTTCAGCCTCTATCACTTAGGCACGTGGGGCCATAGGGTCCAGCTTAGGACTACAGCTGTTGGCCATCATGGTGCTGGGAGGGCTCTGCCCTCCAGCCTGGGACTTGCACGTGGCCGTGGAAGGCGTGCCCTCTCGTTAGTCTGAGGTTTGAACCCGTCCAAACTCCGTGTAGCTGCTCTCCCCAGGGAAGAGCCTGGGTTCCTGAGCCTCCGAAACCCTCTCAGGACTTTCTGTTAAACAGACAGTACACGTCCTCAAGGAACAGCCGCCTTAGATACTTGTACCTGAATGCCTCTCCCCTGACACACCCACACAGGCTTCTTCCGGGGGGGCAGAGCCCCAGCTCTCAGGCCTCTGGGTTGCTGCTCTGGGTCAGCTTCTTGATCTGACTCCCACCTGGGGTCTGGCTGCCTGGCTCTTTCCTCTGTCACTGGCCACCAGACCCAGCCTCTGGCCTGGCTGCCCCAGCTCCATGTCCTCTGACCCGTGCAGGCTCATCTGTGGTTGGTGCATTCCCCGGGGCTGCTGGGCTGTCCTGAAAACTTGCCTCAATGGTGACCCCCTTCTCCTCCAGGCCACTATCTCTCAACGAACTCCTAGTGGCCCTGTCCTTCTAGGACCGTGGTCAGCAAACTGCGGCTTGCGAGCCACATGTGGCTCTTTGGCCCCTTAGGTGTGACTCTTACACAAAATACCACGGCCTAGGGCGATTCTATTTTGAAGAAGCGGCGTTAGAAGGCGTTTAAGTTTTAAAAATTTGGCTCTCCAAAGAAATTTCAATGGTTGTACTGTTGCGATTTGGCTCTGCTGACCAATGAGTTTGCCGATTACTGCCCTAGGAGATGCTTGAGCCTGGAGCGGGCAGGCGGGAGCCAGAAGGTGAGCTGGAACAGGAGTCTTCCAGCCCCTCCCTGGGACTTCAGAAGGAGGGGGCGCTGCTGAGCTGGGCTCCCCATAAGGAAATGGGTGCAGCCACCTGTTTGCACATTCCAGACCCAAGCTTCCTCCCCTCACTACCCCCCACCCAAGAACCACCTGAGTCCCCACCATACCCCTGCCTCAGAAGGTCCCCGTGAGGAGCGGGGAAGAGACTCCTTCAGCTTCTATTTCACGGGACAGCAGAGTGAGTGGAGTGCAAGAAGGGATGTGCCACGGCAGGGCTAGTGCTAGGACAGGAACCTGAGCCCTGGTTCCTCCAACACATCCTGCTGTTTCCCCGCCCCCTGCCCCCACAAAGTCTGCTGAGGGGTCACGATGCTCAGGCCAGAGAGCCAGCCTGGCCCCCAGCCCGCCGCCCGAGGCTCTGCTGCTGGGGCGGAGATGGAGGGAGGTGTCGGGACTGGGCGGACCTGGGAAGGAATTGCTCATGGCAGGAGGGCATGGGTGAGGGCCAGCTGGGTGGGGACAGCGGGCACGGTGCCAGTCCTCCCCCGGAGCTGTGACTTTTAACACCCGAGGTGCTGGGCGGGGGCCAGGCAGGCTGTGGACGACGCTCTGCCAAACCACGCGGAGGCCTCAGGTGCCTGGAAAATGTCCGTCAGGCAGCTGGCCCCGGGAGCCTGCCTCTCCTAAAACCTTGGGTGCCAGAAGTGCACCCCATTCTCTCCCCAGCGCTGGGACCCCCCCAGGATTCCCCATCCCCATGTAGCGTGGCCCACACGGCCGCATCTTCTCTGTGAAGCCTCCATCCCCAGCGCCCAAAAGCCGCTGAGCCCCGGAGAGCACCGGCCACACCAGGCCTCGGGCCAGGAGCCTGGCGGCCGGGGGAGGGAGCCTCCCTCCCAGGGGAGGGGTGGGGACACAGAGCCCTCAGCCCGGGGGCTTTCGTGTCCTGTGCTCTGCACGGACGTCTCCTGGCACCCGTGTCTTCATCTGCACGTGGGAACAGAGGCATGGCATCGATGGTAACACGGACCCGCACGCCTGTCTAGCATCCAACCCTTTCCAAAGCCGATCCCACCACCTGCAGCCCCAGGAGCTGGGACTTGAGTCCATTCTGCTGACGAGGAGGCGGGAGCTTGCTGAAGTCACCCAGCTGGTGGGTGGCCCCACGTAGGGCTGACCCCATGTGACAGTCACCTGCAGCCCCCACCGGACGAGGCAGGTGCCTCACAGTCAAGCTTTCCAGGCAGGGGCAGGGCCAAAGGCAAAGTGGGGTTAGCAAGGGCTATGTGTATGTGTGTGTGTGTGTGTGTGTGTCTATGTACCTGTATGTGGTATCTGTATGTTGTATTTATGTGTGTCCGTGTGTACCTTTATGTGTCTATGTGTCCATGTGTATGTGTCTGCGTGAGGGCCAGGTGGGCGGGAACAGCTGGCACTGCTCTCAGAGTTCTTGCCTCGCTCTGGCCTCCCTGGTAGCCAGCTATCATCACACCCCCTCCTATGTAAGGCCCTCTCCGAGCTCTGCCTCAGGCTCAGGAAAGCCAGCCTCCCAGTGCTGGCTCTGCCCTGAGGCCAGGCGATCCCTCCCTGCAGTTCTGCTGCCCCAGCGGGTCTGTCCTCCCCTAGGCCCAGCCCCGCTAGTCAGTCACCAGCGCCTGCTCGCAGACCTCTGGGGCACTGCTGAGAACGGCCTAGCGGGCAGAGCCCCTGGCCTCACTGCTTTGCCTTCTCCTGCCTGTTCCTGCCAAGGGCTTTCTCCTGCCCAGAGTGAGCTGGGGGGCAGGCCAGGGTGACAGGGAACACCACCCCACAGACGCCTCGCCCAGGGAGGGATGGGAGCATCCTGGCCCCTAGAGGCCTGCTCTGCAGCAAGCTCAGCCCCGCCGCCCAGGGCCCTCCCGGGAACCTGCCCCACCGCACCCCTGCACCCGCACTTTCTTCCCTTCCCTCTGACTCCCTCTCTTCTCCAGCGCCACCTGGGGCCATTCTCAAGCACTTATCCTTCATCAAGTCCTTCTGCCTCTGAGGTGACCTTCTCCTTCCCCTGATGCAGAAGGCGGAGGACTGGCCTCAAGCCAGACAGCAGGAGCAGGGGCCAGAGTTAGGGGTAGTCGCCATGGGGCGGGGTTGGCAGACAACCACTCCTTCCTTTGAGGGGTCCACTTCTGGGCATCCAGTCCCTCGGCCTCCAAGGCCTGTCCCCAGACCAGCCTGCTGCCTGGAACCTTGAGATTTCTTGCCCTTTCCACTCCCTTCCCCACCCCGGGAGGCGGCCCGGCCCACAGAAGGCCACCCACAGCTCCTCGGCCCTAGTAGTCCCCACCCCTTGGGGCCAGGCTGCTCAGCCCGCTGGGTTCCCTGAGGCGGGGGTTCCCCAGCCACACTGTGCAGGTGCCTGATGCACCCTCCCCACAGCCAGCTCTGCAGGACCAGGCTCCCCAGTCTGTCTGACCTTGGCCTCCAGCGTGATCAGTCGCTCACTCATGTCGCTGAGCCGGGTGCAGTTCATGCATTCTGCAAGAGAAGAGGAGCCCAGGTGAAGGGGGAGTGTAGGTCCTGAGGAGAGAGCAACCCAGCCACCAGGACAGCCTCCGGATGGGAAAGCAGCCAGCTCTTGGGTTGTATGCCCGGAAAACTCCCAGCCTTCCACCAGGGCCTCATCCTGAGTGTCCCCTCCTCCGCGCAGCCTCCCTGACCTCGGACCTCCTTCCTGGGCGCCCACAGCACATAGTGCTCTTCGTTTCCTCAGCACAGGGTCTGAGCCAGCACTGAGCCAGCCTGTAAGCTTCCTGAGGGCCGGGTCTTTGTTTATTTTGTTTGCTCATGAGTCTCAGCACCCCGTACAGAGTAGGGGCTCAGAAGTATCAGAGAGCTGATGAATGGACAGCAAATGAAAGGTGTCAAAGCCACAATTGGTGAGGTCTATGCTAGAGCTGTCAGAACAGAATTTGCGCCGAAACCGGTTTGGCTCAGTGGATAGAGCACCGGCCTGCAGACTGAAAGGTCCCAGGTTCAATTCCTGTCAAGGGCATGTACCTTGGTTGCGCGCACATCCCCAGTAGGGAGTGTGCAGGAGGCAGCTGGTCGATGTTTCTCTCTCATCGATGTTTCTAACTCTCTATCCCTCTCCCTTCCTCTCTGTAAAAAGATCAAAAAAAATATTTTTTTTTTTAAAAAACACAAAAACAGAACATGCAAGAGAGCATCATGGGGTCACCAAAGCCAGTCTGGGGTGGGGTGGGGGCTGGGGGCAGGGGAGGGCATCCTGCAGTCAGTGGCATAAAAAGTGAAGCCTGAGGGATGTACAATGACTGGCCAGGTGAGGAAGAGGGAGAGGCCAGGTCCAGGAGGGGAAGCACAGGTGCTGAGGCCGGGCGGGGAGCAGAAGAGGGGTCTGTCGGCAGCCTGGCCAGAGCTCAGCACCCCTCGGGGCCACCAATGCAGAGCTCAGGCCTCCCCACAGAGCTTCTGGCAGGAAGAACTCCTGAGGCCAAGGGGCAGCCACTGGCGGAGGTGAAAATCAAGGTCAGTTTGCATTTGTACAAGTTCATCTGGCAGCGAAGCCTACCGAGGTCGGAGTGGGAGGGCCCGGAAGCCGGAAGGCCAGTGAGGAGACCAGGGATGGTTAACCCTCAGGCACCGTCTCTCTGGGCCGTAATTATCTTCCTAGTCTGTCTGCCCAGAAAACCCGAGCTCTTTAACGAGGAAATAGACTGTCGGTCCCGAGGCGTTCCAAAGAGCGTTTATTGCTCTGAGCGTCAGGGGACACCTGAATTCCTCACTCAGTTCAAAGCCTGACCCGACAGGAACCCATTCTGGTTACAGACACAGACGCACGAGAGGTGCTGGGTGACTCAGCGGGCCCCATGGGTGTGTGGAGGCGCCTTGGCTGCAGTGAGGCCTCCCGGGCACTGGCAGGGTCCGCGGGTCCCACCCCAGCCTGTCCGTGGAGAGGCCCCCACCACTGTCACCAAGTGCAGGTCACCTTGCTGATGTCCCTGCTCCAAAGAGGAGATTGCTCTGTGCGGGGAGGGGGTGGGGCGGCCTCGGGGCCTGGGGGCTGGCACCCACTGCTTTCTGCTCACCAGCGCCCGGGTTAAAAGGCCTCCCGCATGGCGGCAGAGCGCGTGCACCCTCCTGCCCTCCCTGCTCCCCTGGGCCGGGCCCAGCCGGTGGTTTATAGGCTTGTTTTAGGAACAGAACTCCCCCTCCTCCCCGCAATAAACCTTGTCAGTAACCTCAATACATAAAACAGATTAAAGGCTGAGGTATAAACACGGAAAGGGCAGGACTTCACAAAGGCCAGCGAGAGAGGGGGTGGTTTGGGGTTGAGTGGGGGAGGAGGAGGTTGTACACCTCGATTCCCTCTAGTTTCTCCGGGGAAGGGCCGGTAAAGGAAGGGGGAGGAACAGGGAAGGCAGTGTTCCCTGGGCTCACGGGCACTGACACTGGGGGAGCCCCCCCGGGAAATAGCTGGGTCCCCAAGGCCCCGTCAATAAGGCCAAACCACAGGGAAGGAGCCTGAGGATCTTCAGTGCCTTTGAAAGGAGCCTTGAATGCGGTGGTTCCCAACCTTCCTAACGCCGCCGCCCTTTAATACAGTTCCTCCTGCCGTGGTGACCCCCAACCATAACATTATGTTCGTTGCTGCTTCATAGCTGTCATTTTGCTGCTGTTAATGAATCGTAATGTAAACATCTGTGTCTTCCGATGGTCTCAGGCTCTGCAGCAGCGGTTCTCAACCTGTGGGTCGCGATGCTCCATGGGTGGGGGTGGGGCTCTAGTTTACAACTTACATCGGAGTTGTAGAGTGGCAGGCATTGGAAGGGCTGAGAGCCACTGTTTGAATGGGAAAGACGGAGATCAAAACAAGCAGGGTCCCAGGTATCCATCCATCCGCCCGCCACACACAACCATCCCCTCATCTACCCACGGGGGTGCCCAGGAGCTCTTGCTGACTGTGCGGAGACCGCAGGGTGAGCGGCAGGGCAGTAAGGAGGAGGGGCCTGCTCTTGCAGCCAAGGCCCAGGAGCCGTCCTGAGCAGCCACATCTCGTGGGGAACAGGCTGACTGCGGAGGGCAGGATGCGTGAGCCCCAGCTCCCTTCCTCTCCGCATGGAGCTCCAGCCTAGGGCAGCAGGAGGAGGATGGACATGGGTACGTGGTAAATCAGCGCCCCAGCCCCACCCATGGAACCTTCTACAGCGGTTATGGACCTTGAACAAAGTGTTTCCAGGATCTGAGGCAACAAATAGGACTCGCTGCAGTGGGGAAGGTCAGCAGAGGGAGGGGAGCCCCGGGCGCTCGCAGGAACCTATTTCTGGAAAGCGAGCTGGGCGCGGGCCCAGTTTGCTCTGGCACCAGGCGCCCGGTTTGGCAAGTGGGGAGCCGCTTGGCTGTTGGTGGGCACGAGGGTCCGTTCTCCCGCCTCAGAGAGGCCCCAGAGGCCCTGTCAGCGGGCGGGGGCGAGTCCGCCAGCACGGCCGCCCCGTGCCACCTGCCCTGGCAGGCAGGCGCTCTGAGACCAGGCGGGGTTTATGGTTCCCCTGGCATTCTGTCATCGACAGGCAATTAAATCATGTTTGCTTAGCTTTCTCCGGTTATTCACGGAGAGGTGGAAACGACGCTGATGGGGTGACTGGCTCTGTGATGGGCTGAGGCCCTGCCTGCCCAGCTCTGGGCCTCTGTTTCCCCTCTTAACACGAAGACTTTAACTTCCTGAGAGTCTGTGATCCCCATGTTCCCACCCCCTGCAGGCCCACACAAGTCCCTAGTGTCTAGGACATGGGTACCAGGAAATCTTTGCCAATATGTGTATACTTGAAGTGTGGATGTGCCAGGCAAACGGGTGTGTGTGTGTGTGTGTGTGTGAGAGAGAGAGAGAGAGAAAGAGGAGGAGGGGCTAGCTCCAGAGGAAAGGGAACTCTGTAGAGACCACTAACTCACTGTGTGACTTGCAGGCCTGCATTCCACCTCTCTGCACCTCAGTGTACCCATTTGTGAAGGAGTTGACATTGGATCTGCTCCAAGGGCCTCAGGTGCTCGGTTCTCCAGGCACCCGTACCCTTGCCCTTGGGCTCTCACTGCTGGGCTCCGTCCACCTACAGCGAGATGGTAGTTCCAACCCCTCTGCCATTTGCCCTTGGCCAGCACTTCAACTGGCGATAGCCCTGTACCCAAAGTTCTGGACCTTCCTCCTGAATGAGGCTGGATTCCCAAGGCCTGACCCTTGAGAGGGGTTTCATCCATCGGGTAGGAGTTGGCTACTGCAGAGGAATCTAAAGAGGCCACGTGAGTCCACTGTGAGGCGTGGGCCATGAGACTCCAACAGGAAGAAGAATGGTCCTGTCCCTCAAAGCCACCACCACACTGAGGGCAGCTCCCTGCTCATGTGACACTGCGGCCTCTGTTCCCCTCTGCACAAGCTCACCTCTGGTTCCACCTGTTAGCAGGCACACAGTAGGTCTTAATAAATATTCATGGATTGAATGAAACAGGCATCCCTTGAGGGTCATTTGCTCATAGTTCTTAGTCTCCCCAACAGAGCAGGAAAAGACCTTGACAATCATTTGTAGGTAGGAAACCACGGCCCAGAGAGGAAAGGAAGTTGGCCAAGTTCATGGCCTTATGGCAGGAGCCACCCACTCCCCCTCTCTAGGCCCAGCCATGAGCACAGGCAGTGAGGCCCATCCGCAGTTCACCGGGGATGGCCGACATTATAAGGAGATATTTGTGTGTAACCTGAAGGTGAAGAAGAATCTAAAGATCTGGTTCCACTGCCGAACCAACACCTTTCCAAAGTCATTGAACGTCAAGTCTCAGTCTCCTTTCAATAAAATGGGCCTGATACTCTCTCCCTGACCCACCCCTGAGAAATGTGACAGGTGTCAGCAGAGATCAATGTGAAAACACACCACAAAGTGCGAGAGGAGGATGGCTCTGAAGCTCACATTTCTGGTCTGGGGTGAGAGGACTGGTTCCCCTGCCCCATCCCCCACTGTGTCCGTGGCCCCTGAGGATTAGCAGCCTTGAGACTCAGAAGGGAGGCTGGAGGCCTGAGAAGGTTCATTTTATGTGTCAACCTAGCGAGGCTCTGGTACTGTTGTTGTTCAAACACCGGGCTCGGTGTTGCTGTGAAGTTATTTTGCAGATGTGGTTAACATCTGCAACCAGTTGACTTTAAGGAAAGGAGGTAACCCCAAATAATGTGGGGTAGGCCTCATCGAGCCAGTTGAAGATTTTTAGAGCAAAAACTGAGGTTTCCCAGGGAAGTAGGAATTCTGCCTCAAGGTTGCATCAGCAGATCTTGCCTGAGTTTCCAACTGCTGGTTGAAACTGTGGCTCTCGAGCCACATGCAGCTCTTTGGCCCCTTCAGTGTGGCTCTTCCACAAAATACCACGGCCTGGGTGAGTCTATTTTGAAGAAGTGGTGTAAGAAGTGGTTTTAAAAATTTGGCTCTCAAAATAAATTTCAAACGTTGTACTGTCAATATTTGGCTCTGTTGACTAATGAG